ATAAATAAATATATATATATATATATATATATATATATATCAAATAAATTAGATAAAAAAGTTATAAAAAAAAATTCGTACAAATTTACTCGTTAAAAAAGTCTCTCAAAAACACTTTGACTCAAGATATGCATATTTAATGTATATAGAAGTGAATTTTTGTTTTAAATGAACAGCCAAAAGTCTGGAATATAATTAAAATAGAGAAAATCAAACACCTAAAAGATTATTCATTCATCTATACTAATATATAAATGTGATATTCCTTTTTTAACCACATTGATATTTACATTTTATTGATATTATTCCCTTTCATTTTAAAAAATTAGAAAAGATAATATTTTTTTTTTTTTTATCAAAATCAAGATCATTAATCATAATATTAGATCAATATACATTCATTACTTAATTTTATTTTTAATTTCATCTTTAATAAAAGTACGTAGTATCTCCACTTTACTAGTTTAACATAAAATAAGCATTATATCCAATTTAGATCAACAGTAAAGAATATCCTTTATGAGCACGAAATCATGTTTTGAAACAGTAACAGAAACCAACGCACAGGATAGATTTTTTTTTTTTTTTTAATCTTCGTTTGAGTCAATGACCATTCTCAAACAATCAACGTTGAAAAAGAGAGTAAATACTTCTCTCTCTGATTCCTTAATATTTGAACATTCTACCATAGCTATATATATATATATATATAGACCTTTAGCCACAAAGCACCAATATATATACATATACTATTCTCAATTTTGGTTTTGTGCCCTCACAAAGAAGGCATAGAGATAGATGATCATGGATAACCCTAAACACATATTTTGGAGTCTGGCAACGGTGACGTTACTCTTCCTTGGAGTTATTTTGATGTATCATTGGTCCTCCTCTTTCTCCAATGAATTAGTCCTAACCAAGAAAGAACTTTTCTGCAAGCAATCAAATTTTGTAAGTTCAAATCATCTATATTCTTTTTTCTTTCATCAAAACAAATCATGGGTATTCTTTATAATCTACCTGAAATTTAGTTTCATAATTAAAAGAGTGATCTTGATATCAAGGGATAATCTAGAGTGTGACTCAATTAGTTAAACAGATGTGTGACTGTTGTAAACTCCTTTGATACCCATGTTCTACAAAAAGAGTAATCTTGTATGGCCATTGATGAGTTTTATTTTATTTGTATCAAAGTGTTTGTATGGATTTTTTTTCTTTATAATCTTTCATAATTTTAATTTTCCTTTTAATTTGTGCATAATAGACCACCACCACCAATACAGAAGCAATTGGAGATGCCCTTGATTCTGCTTTAGCCAAAGCTTCAATGGGAAACAAAACGGTGATAATAACTATAGTAAATAAGGCATACGTAGAGCAAGATGTAGAGAGTGATAAAACTATGTTCGATATATTTCTTGATAGTTTTTGGCTTGGAGAGGGAACAAGGTCTCTCATTAATCACCTTCTCATAGTAGCGGTTGATCAAACAGCCTATGATCGATGTCAATTTCTAAAGTTGAATTGCTTCAGATTGGTAACAGATGGAGTTGATTTTGAAGGTGAGAAAATCTACATGTCTCAAGACTTCATCAAAATGATGTGGAGAAGGACTTTCTTCCTCTTGGAAGTTCTCAAACGTGGCTACAATTTCATTTTCACGGTATGTAATTCTATCTTTTTCTTTTTTCCTTTTTATGTTTTGTTTTGATTGACCACTCTTTTTAATGTTCAGTTGCACAGAGTTGAATTAGTGGTATAACATTATTTCACATTCTTAATATTCTTCTCTTTTTTATTGTCAAAATTAGCTAAAAAAAATCTTTTTGGTGATCATTAACTATCCTTCTTTTATCTTTATTTGTTTGTATTTGATTTTCTTTTTCACTAGTATGATAATGCGTTGACTGAATATTTATTATTTATAACTAAATTTAAAAAAATTATACACATTATAAATATTATATTTGAATATATAAATTATATTTAAAATTTATATAAATAAATATTTTTAACATATAAATTATATTTTAGACTTTTAATAAATGATTTAAATTGTAACACAATATTATTTTTTATTTATTTATAATTTATTTTAAAAATATTAAAATTTAATTCATCAATATTTATGATAAATAAAAATTTAAATTAAATAAGAAGTTAAAAAAAATCTTTAAAATCCTTATCGTCAAAGAAAAATTTCTAAAAATATTTTTATTCAAGTTAAAGGTCCATATTTAATATATAAGGGGTTGATTTACTCTACCTCTTTTATCTCTATTAGTAAATTTGTAAATTAAGGTTTAACAGTTTTTAAAATAAGCTATTGATAGAATTTAAATTGTTCATTGTAAATTCAAATATGATTTATATATTCTGATATTTAACTACAAATTCAAAACATTATTTCATCTTCGTTTTCTTTAATTTGAATTTGATTTTTTTTTCATTAATCCCTTCCTCTTCTATTTATGCATAAATGTTACTTGATTTATCTGTAAAGTGAGGTATGATTTGTTACGTAAGTGGGTAAAGCATGTCCTTACAAGACACGTCACACCTTTTTGGTAGAAAGTTTTGGTGCAAGTAACTTTCTCATAAATGTGCTTAAAAGGGAATTTATTGCACTCATATATATATTGAAAAAGTTGACTTTGTTACGTACGAAAATTTCAAGTTAGAACAATCTATCTATGTAGTTTCAAAGTCAGTTAGGATATCAGATTAGGTTAAGAGGTAAAGAGATAATTAAGAATCATATGAGGATAATCCTGAAAATATTTTAGAGGATAACTCACATGTGATTGTCAGTTACAAACGGGAATGTTCCTTTACAATTATATGTAAAATAAAAATTAAAAATTTAAGAGGTCGTTCAATTCATTACTTAGTTTTCTTTGGTTACAATTCATTTAGTGGTTTGATTTTGTGAATGAATTAAAAAAAAACTAAAGAGTTCTTTATTATTATTTTTTTCAACCTTTTTATCCTCGTTTTATATATTTGTAGACTAAGATCAAGCTTAAGATGCAGTAATATCTAAATGAATACTGTACTTTTTCGAATTTCTATAATGACAATATTTTAAATGTACATAAGGAAATGTAATATCAAAATTAACTAATTTTAAAAACAAACAAAACTAAATTTTAGTAAGGTTTAGTTTTACATAAACTATTATAACAAATTTAATTAAAAGCATTCAAACTTTTAAATTCCCTTGCATAATACTTACAACAGGGAGAGTGATATTTATGTTATCTAGCTATATCATTATATTATTGTATTAACTATTAAAGGAGATATACGTTTTTTTAGTAAGTTTTTAGTTTCTATTTTTATATAAACCTTTCTATATTTATTATCCTTTCTCATTTTACTTTGGAACCGTCCACACGGAATTGCTGATATAGAAATAATGATTTTTGTTTCAATTTAGTTATCTTTTTAACTAGTAACTATTTTTTATTTTTATATAGACTTTTTTTTAATTTTATTCTAGAACTGTCCACAAGTAACTGCTCATATATATTTTTTTTCATTTTTAATGCAGGTATGAAGGATCTTTTTTCTACTAATTCTTCATTTTTATGCATGGTTTTTAGTTCAACATGTAATTTAAAAAATCAAACAGTTCATCAATTTCAATTCTCAACTTTCATTTCCTCTAATTCTCATAAATCATTTTTTTTACAGGACACAGATGTAATATGGCTAAGAAATCCATTTATAAGATTAAGTAAGAATAAGGCAGAAGACCTCCAAATTAGCACAGATACATACCTTGGTGGCCCTTGGTCAAAAAAGAATCCAGTAAATACTGGATTTTATTTTGTGAGGTCAAACAACAAGACCATTTCCCTATTTGAAACATGGTATGACCAAAAGGACAATGCCACAGGAAAAAAGGAGCAAGATGTGCTTATTGATCTCATTAGAGGTGGTATAATTGAACATTTGAAACTAAGGGTTAGGTTCTTGGACACTCTTTATTTTAGTGGATTTTGTCAAGATAGTAAAGATTTTAGGGCAGTTACTACTATACATGCCAACTGTTGTAGGAGCATCACTGCAAAGGTGGCAGATATCAAGGCAGTCCTTCGCGATTGGAAGATATATAAGAGATTGGATGCTAATTCTACTATAAATCTCCAATGGACTAAGCACAATTGGTGTTGGCAATCTTGGAGAACACCTATAAAAGTAAAAACCTAAGTATCATACCTACTTCAATGATGTGAAACAACCAATTTTTTAATTTATATGTAACCTAAACAAGATTTTGTTTTAATTTAGAAAAATAATTTTGAAGGTTTTATTTTGTATATATGTGTGTGTTTGCGCTCTATGAAGAGATTAATACACGAAAAGGGAAATCTTTATGTTGATGTCTTGTGAGAATTATGCATATGCAAATAAAATTAAGGTTAAACATATAATTTATTTTTTAATGGTGTCACGGATCCTCAATTCGTTTCTTATACATACAACTTATGAAATCAGTCCTTATATATTTGTTAAAAGTTACTAACTTGGTATCTAGTATTGTTAACTCCATTACACATTGTTAATTTAATCTTTATACATGTAACACTTTTAATTTGGCATGCATTTTTGGTTTGGTCTTACAAATGGAGAATTAAATTAAGAATGTGGTAATTGTGTAGGAGTGAAATTAAGAATGTGTACTAATATAAGGACCAAATTAATATCAAGAATATGTAAAGATTAATGATTTTAGGGACTAAATAAGTAATGTTTACATATATAGGGATCGATTTGTAATAAATTTTTACATATATGGACCAAATTAAGAATCTATGACATGTTTAGAGACTAAATTATATATTTTAATATTTTGATGGGAAAGAATTACAATTGTGATACTCCTCTACCCCCAAAAATTTAACAAATAAAATATAACAAATATTCAAAAAAATAAAACAATGTAATAATACTTCTCAGAAGCTTGTAAAATGGTTCATGTAATGTAATATTCTAAACTTCTAATACAATATTTAATCATAATATTATATAATTTTAGCATTCCGAATTTTATTATCTTATTCTTAAAATAATTATTTAAAATTTTAGTTGTCATATTTTAAAATGAATAAAGATTAAGTACAATATTTTTATATAATACATTAAAAATTTTATTACAATATTTCCAATAAACTAAAATAGAAATATATAATATTTAATCATATTTTAAAACCCTATTTATAATATTTTTTAGAATAAAATGTTAAGTGTATTATTATTATTATGAAGTATAAATATTTAAATTGTTAAATTTTAAATGTTTAATATAAGTAATAAAATTATTTTTAAATCTCTTATAATATAGGTAGTTAAAAGAAATAGGGAAAAGTTTTTGAAAAAAGTTAAAACCTGCAGCAAATAAAATTTGTAGGTGCGTATGACTCCTATTCTTTAAGAGATAAAGTTATCTCTAACTAAAGAGATAAGAATTTTGAAATTGAATCCTAATTAAATAGTTTTAAAAAATTATAATCATTACTAAATTTGTCTATAAATAGGTAAACGGAGGGAAACCTTTAGAAGGGAAGTTTGAGAAAAGGGAGAGAACATGAGAAGAGAAAAAAGTGAGAAAGAAGGAAGAGAAGGAACTCGATGAATTTTTCCCACTCTATTTATAGGCAAGTTTAGTTATGATTACAATTATTTTTTTTTTTTTTTAACTATTTAGTTAGGATTCAATTTCAAAATTCTTATCTCTTTAGTTAGAGACTAGGAGTCGTACACATGTTTCTTTTTTTTTTTTAAAAAATTCACTCTTTCTTCTAACTACCTATGTTATAAGAGATTTAAAAATAATTTTATTACTTATGTTAAACATTTACGATTTAACAATTTAAATATTTATCCTTCATAATAATAATATACTAAAAACTTTATTTAAAAAAATATTATAAATAGGGTTTTAAAATATGTTTAAATATTATATATATATTTCCATTTTAGTATATTGGAAATATTGTAATAAAAATTTTAATGTATTATATAAAAACATTGTACTTAATTTTTATTTATTATAAAATATGACAACTAAAATTTTAAAAAATTATTTTAAGAATAAGATAATAAAATTGGGAATACTAAAATTATATAATATTGTAATTAAAAAATTGTATTAGAAGTTTAGAATATTACAGTGCACACCGTTCTTCAATAAAACGTATAAAGCATCTTTTAAAAAACATAAAAGCATCTTAAACCAAATAAGTTTTGACAAAGTACAAAACAAATTAATATAAAATTCAACATAAAACATCCATTAATCCTAAAACTCAACCCCAATGTCACATTATCAAAGCAAGACCCTTCTTTATTGTTCTTCTTCCTCAAATTCTTTATTGTTCTTCTTCCTCAAATTCATCATCATGTACCTATTTTATTTCTGTAAATGATGATCAACACAAACTCAAACGTACAAATACAGGGAATGGGAATACATTCATCCATCACATCACATCACATCATATAAAGCATGAGAATAGACACACACCAATTAAATAGCAATTACATCTTACACATCTTCGTCAATTCTCTCATACAATATTAATAATAGTTTAATACATCACATTCAATCTATCACCATCATTCCATCAATCACTAACATAACATATTAATTAACTTAGACTTATGAGATATATGCTCCTAACATTATGTCCACATGGTACCAATCTCCTCCTCATCATCAAGTATATAGAATAGCCTATGAGTAATGGAACAAGACCACCCCATCAAATAGTGTAGACCACTCTACAATAATGATCCCTGTAGCAACCTCGGTCGCGACGGGACGGCGAAAAATAAATTGAAAAAGAGGGAGTCGCCACCAATGTTATTTTTTACGGAAAAACATTGGAAAAACCATAAAATATAAAATAGTCTACGAAAACCAAATTTTTGAGTTCGGGAGTCGATTACGTGTAAGGAAGGTATTAGCACCTCACAACGTTCGTCCTAAGACGATTATCTTTAATTAATTAAACTAATTATTTATAATTTATAAAAATATTTATCTCACTAAAATAATCAAATATATTTTATTTAACTAATTTAAATTATGCATTGAAAAAAAGGTTAAAATTATTATTGTTATATAAAAAG